GCCTCGGACTAAGCTTGGTCCGCCGGACCAAGCTCCTGGTCCGGCGGACCGGGATCCGGAATGTTTCCAAATATTCATTTTTAGGGTTTTCTAATCTTATTTAAGTTTGGGATTTCGTCCAAACTTAATTAAGGCCGACCTAAAACTCAGAGAAACATCCTAGAACCCTAGAGAACCTGTTCTCTTCGATTTCTATTGTCCCGGGATTGGATCTCGTCTCTTGAGTTACCCTTTTCTTCACTAATCCTAGCAGATTCGTTCCAAATCGTTTGGAATCCTTCCCGTCGGTGTGGATACATGTAGAGGGACTGTAACTTCAGTCCTAGGTGATTTAGAACAGGCCCCGGATCGAAATAAACTTCAAGTCTCATCGAGAACGAGGTAAGTAACGATTTCCTCGGTGATATACACGATCTTTCGAGTTTTGCGAGTTTGGTTGCGTGTGACGTTTGACTAGGTTTAGATCTTTCTTCCGCTGCATGAAACCTAGTAAACCAAACCCTAGATCGATATGATCGCATGCTAGGAACCCGTAGATAACCCAACAACCTTGGACTCGTTGCTGGAAGAGAGGGACAGCATCCTGGCGGAGCTGCAAGCAAATCTGAGTCGTGCCCAGGTTTTGATGCGCACCGCAGCTGATCGGAGATGTCGCGAGGCTGAATTTAGTCCAGGTGATTTGGTTTTCTTGAAGATGCGACCGTATCGTATGAAGACGATGGCTGCTAAGAGGAATGAGAAGTTGGGTCCTCGATACTTTGGCCCTTATCCTATCGAGCGTCGAGTTGGGAAGGTTGCCTACCATCTACGTCTGCCAGATTCAGCCTCAATCCATCCAGTTTTTCATGTGTCTCAACTCAAACCAGCAGTTGGAGTAACGGTGAATGTGGAGGCGCAACCCTTGCCGACGAGACTGACAGCAGATTTGGAGTGGCGGGTACAACCAGAGAACTTGTAGGGAGCACGTCGCCGCGCGGAAACGGGCGAGATAGAGGTTTTGATTAAGTGGCAGCAACTGCCTTCGCATGAGGCGACATGGGAGCTATACGATTCGATTTCACAGCAATTTCCGACTTTTCACCTTGAGGACAAGGTGAAACTATGGGAGGGAAGTAATGGTGTAATACCATTCAAAAAAAACGTTCAAGAGGCGCGCAAAGACGACGGGGACACACGTGCAAGCTGAAGAAGGAATGGGAGTTTCGGAGAAGAATGATTAAGGAAGACAAACTAGCACTTATGATAATTAAATAAAGTATCGAGTCTGTATTTATATTACAGAAAGTCTGGGAGTCACATAACAATTACAAGTTGTATTACTCTCTATAAGAGAGAGATAATTATGAATGAAGAAAGCACGCTTTTTGGCTGATGAAAAAAAGGAGGAAGTTGTGATTCGAAATCCAACAGGATAGTAACTCTCCTTAAGCAGCTGCAATTCCGTTAGAATCTTCTGTGGGGTCCAACATGCACATAGATAAATATCAATCCTATACATCTGAGGACATAAAATATATATCACCCATGCATTAATATAAATTTAATTATAGAAAAAAAAATCATCTCATGAATTAGTGATATTTTTCACTAAATTTTATGAGTTTTATATATATTTTGTTTTAATCTAATTATACACTTGCATGTACATGCTCTGACAAATGTAAAAAACACTTATTAGCGGACCATTTGTTATTTGGCGGGATACTTTTGTTTATCAGTATTGATAAACGATAAAATGTTTATTCATAGTGAGCCAAATAATAAATGATTATGTTTTATTTTTTGGATTTACCACGAGGTATATTAAACAACGTTCAATTATAAACCTATATCTTTAAACCTTATATATTTAGATTAATCTCCATTCGTCCATGATAACTAAAATGATTACTTATTTTCAAGATAGGGTTTGAACCCTAACCTCTAGTTAAGATACAAAGATGATGAACCCTCTACGCCAATTCTTGAAGTTAAATGATTATGTATTCTAAATTGTGTAACAATAGGCGTATATAGAATCTATTTATTACATAGTTCTGTATGTGTTTTGATGAATGTTTTATACATACATCCGGATATAGTTATGTGTATATAAATACTTGTATGAACGCATGTATACACATCCGCACATGGTTGTATGTATAGAAGTACTTGCATATATATATATATATACGTATATATGTATTCGAGCATGGTTGTATATAGAGAGAGGTGCATATATGGTGATACAGAATCTAAGAGGGTGAAGCCTTGAAGTGATGGATCTGAATGTTGTCAAGATGGAGTTTTCGGAAGTCACTTCGGTTCCTCGAGACATAGAATTTTCCCCATTTGTATCCTTTGTACTTTGGAGGGTCATTTAAGAGCTCTTCCAGTGGCTTCACTTCAACGTCATGCGAAGGCATCAGGAAGAATGGTATCGAGTATCTCTCTTCCGTTGTGTTCACTACCACTCTGTGTTCCGCGCTCCAATACTTGTCATTCGTCCATACCTTCCGACAATAACGGATATCTACTTTAGTTCATATTTTATCCATGAATTTACTCATTCTCAATGAATGTCAAGAAAATCTATTGAAATAAAGAACCCCTTTACAGCAATGTGATTCGAAGTGAAACGGGTCTGATTTAAAAATCCAAACCAAACAAACATCCGATGTTGTTAATAAAGAGTCTAGACAGTCTATCACTAACTCCACTAATAGGAACCACTTTCCTCAACTCACTCTCCATTTGTCTTCCCATATTTGTAGAAAACTGTTATATTGTATCAGTTACTTGTATCTATATAAGAAACCCAAAAAATTAAAATGAATAAAGTAGAGAATATTTTTCTGAAAATTGCATTGTTCTTCTTTAAGCTTTGATTGGGACCATCAAAATGGGTATCATATTCTAGTTAAAAGCGAAATTGAATCTAAGTTATATATAAAAAAAAATCAGTTTTATTTAGGAAGAACTCTACTCAGATCCCAAGAATTAAAAAAAATGAAACAAAACACAAATGAAGAGGAAAAAACCGAAGTGCTAAACCCACTTTGTGATGGTTGAATGGTGTAAACTTGTTATACACAACTCTCAACTCTTCATGGAAAGAGTTGTATAATTTAATTGTGATACATAACTTATCTCCGGATTTTGAGAGATTTTTTTTTCTTTCAAGAAAACTTTAATCTTTTTTATGTAAAGGTTCGGTGAACTTGTAAGTTAAAAAAAACGAAGTGTTAAACTTAAACCTTTTTTACTGATTAGCATTCATACCAAGTTATGAACAAAAACAACTCGAATATATAAACTTATGGAAAAATCCATATAAATATTTGTACTTTTACAAAAATTTCGCATAAATATTTGAACTATAAATTTTTCATATAAATATGTAAACTTTTCTAAAATCCTATATAAATACCTAGACTTCTGAAAAACTTCCAAATAAACCCAAAATACGATTAATGACCTCACCTATTTTTATTTAAAAAATACCTGAAATTTGTATTTATTTGAATTTTTTTAAAGTCTAGGTACTTAGATTATTAAAAGTTTAGGTATTCATATGAAAGTTTTATAGTTAATGTATTTATATGAGATTTTTGTAAATGTTAAGATATTTATATGCTATTGAAGATTTAAAAAATTTCACACAATCTCCTAAAAAAATCTAATCAGAACATAATCAAAACATATTTTAAAAAAAATCGATTGAAGATTTACCTCCATACAGTTGCCAATGTTGATGACAAGGGCGCCAGGGACAGGTCTAACGGGGAACCAGAGACCATCGGATCTACGGCTAACTTGTAAACCGCCGACTTGGTCTTGAGCCAAAACGGTCAAGACATCAGCGTCTTTGTGTCGGCCGACGCCCAAGGCGAGGTCGGGGCGGTGACACGTCGGGTATCTGTTGACCCTAAGGAAACTCATTTGTTTTTCGAAGTAACCATTGAAGTGCTCTCCCGTTAGGCCTAAGCTTAGGGACACCAGTTCTAGCACTTTGAATGCTAGCTTCTCCGCTTGCCTTGCATACTCCTCACACGCCTCCCTTTTTTTTTTTGAGAAAGAAAAGAAAGAGAGGTTTTATAACTTTTGTAATAAATATAAAAAATAGCCAGAAAATATAAAATAGGGTAATCGCATAAAAATACCTGAATTTTTATAAAAATCCCAAATAAATACCCGAATTATAAAATTGTCATATAAATACCTGAACTTTTCAAAACTCTCACATAAATACCAAGACTTTTAAATTTTTTTCAAATCAAACAAACGCAACTACTGACTCAGCAAAAAAAAAATGTTGACTCAACAAAAAACTGTTGACTCAGCATTCAAAAATATTATTAAATTTCTAAATATTCATCTACATGTATTTAAATTAATATATACATATATATTATGTATATATGCATTAGTAATGATATATATATATATATTGTAGTTATGTGTATATGTGTTTTATTAATTATAAATAATTTTATTTTTAATATATATATATATATATTTGTATATATATGTGAATTTATATGCATATATTAATTTAAATACATGTAGATGAATATTTGGATATTTAATAATATTTTTGAATGATGAGTCAGCAGTTTTTTGCTGAGTCAGCAGTTTTTTTTGCTGAGTCAGTAGTTTTTTGCTGAGTCAGCAGTTGCGTTTGTTTGATTTGGAAAAAATTTAAAAGTCTGGGTATTTATGTAAGAGTTTTGAAAAGTTCAGCTATTTATATGAAAATTTTATAGTTCGGATATTTATTTAGGATTTTTGTAAAAGTTCGGGTATTTTTTATGTGATTACCCCTATAAAATATTATTACGGGAGATTTGATTGAAAACTGATATAGAAATAACATATAAAATATTATTACGGGTGATTTGGTTAAAAACTGATGCAGAAAATAACATATAAATATTATTACGAGGAATTAGGTTAAAACTGATATAGAAAATAAGAAGTTTTGAGGGAAAAAAGAAAATCAAATAAACCCCCATTAGAAAACAAATTTTAAATTATTGGACTTGATGTATTCCTGATATATTCCACAGAATCTAATTTATTCATATCAAAGATTAATTTTAATTATTTAAACTAATTCGTATAAAACTAATAAAATTTGATATTTATTTTAATATATATATATATAGATTTGATAAATTAGATAATTTTTTTTGTCATATTATAATTATTTTGACAATAAAATTTTCTAGATCTATGTCATTATAATAAATGTTAAATAAAAGAGAGGTAATTACTAAATAAATTGTTGTTTTTCCATGTTAGATGCAGAACAAATTAACATAAACATCCAAATTCGAATTTGAATTTCATAAATCTACAAGTGAAAATTAATACCAAAACAAAAAAAAAAACAAAAAGAAAAAAAGTAATTACCTGAAATCCGAAGGGAACCGAGGCCACTTGTTATACACAACTCTCAACTCTTCATCTTCAGGATCAGGTGAAGCAGGCAAAACCATGCAATCGTTCAAATACACGTCGAACACTTCCTTCCAATCCCTCACGTCCTTGGTGTGTTCTCCGTCGTGATATCCCACCGGATTCGCTTCGTCGCGTTTGATTCTCCTCTTCTCATCGATCGTCAGGTCGAAAAAAGCCCTAGCGACGCTCTCCAAGTGTTGCCTTGCATCGCAAGTAACTCCGTGGTTTATCACTTGGAAAAATCCCCATTTTTCGCAGGCCTCTCCGATCTCGGACACGACTTTTCCGATGTTTTCGGCATCCTCCAGGCGAGAGAGATCGATCACGGGTATTTCCTCGGGGTCTTCTTCGGGCGTGGAATTTGAGTTTGGCCTGTGTTCTGGTGCTTGGATGAAAGTTTCGTCAAGAGCTTCCATTGTTTTTGTGGCTTTGTGATCGATGAGGAACAAAGGGGAAGGGTGTTTTCCTTTTTTCTTGGGTGCTTAAAAGTTGTAAGTGGGCAATGCGATTGTTAGGTGTGACAAGTGAATATATATATATATACACAAACACACGTGCTTATATATATATTATATTTGACACCATTTTTTATTGTATTATATGCCCACTTGGACTTGATGGTTTGGAACCTTATGATTGTTTATCAATTTGTTTTAAATATCTATATATACTGTATTTTAATATTTTTTAGGAAAATAATAAAAACTCATATCAATCTATTCAAACAATATCTTATACCAAATATTAATTTGACAAAAACTTGCAATGTGTTGGATATCTAAACCAAATATCAAAATCTTTAACAATTTGTGACACGACTATAAACGGAGTCAAAATTTTCTAATTTCCGTCAAAATCGGATATATGACGTGGTAGTACGCACCATTAATTTTACCACATAAATTTGATTTTGTAACCTTCTATCTCGATTTTATAATGATTTTGTAACGATTATGTTGATTTTTGTAGTGATTTTGCATAATATTAAATAGAATATATATATATATTTAGAGGAGAAAAAGGGTAAAACCCCTAAAAAAACCTCCAACTTGCAAAAATATATACAAATAAACCTTCAACTTGAAAAACTATCATTCAATCCCCGAACTTGTAACTTGTCACTGAATAAAACCTCGAACTTGTAAATTATTGCTCTAATAAACCTTTGACCGGTTTGACCACAATTTCATACGATCGGAAATCCACGTATTGACGGATTGTTGATGTCAATTTTTATATTAAAATTGATAATGTGTATAAGGTGACATCAGCAATCCGTTAATACGTGGATTAACGATCGTATGAAATTGTGGTCAAACCGGTCAAAGGTTTATTAGAACAATAATTTACAAGTTCGAGGTTTCATTTAGTGATAAGTTACAAGTTTGGGGATTGAATTACAGTATTTCAAGTTGAAGATTTATTTGTATATATTTTTGTAAGTCGGAGGTTTTTTAGGGGTTTTACCCGGAGAAAAATGAGTGAGAGATATACAAGGAGAGATAAAATAATGAGAAATGAGAAAAACGAGTAGAGAGAAAAATCTATGGTAAATTAATTAAAAAGTTGATAAGGGATAGAAATGAAATAAAAAAATCTTATTTTAAGATAGAGGTAATTCTGTGTAGTCCAAATAGCCAATAGGTGATATTTTTTATATTCTCCCTTAAAAGATATCTTCGTTTTTAAATTATTTTCCCTTAAAAGATGATATCTTCCTTTTTATTTTTTTAACTTTCATTTTTATATTATTTTCTATAATTTCGTCCTATCAAGTTACAGGTCAGATTCAGTGGACTTTCATAGATTTGCAAATATATATTATATATATATATGTATATCAAAGTTGACGCCGAAGCTCAAAGGCAAGGAAGACCAGAGGTGACATATATGAAAAGTATGCGCAGCCACTTAGCGAATAAAAAAAAATAGGTTACACCGGATATACCCGTCTTCGTCTTTGTCTTCATGAGTTTTATAAAAACAATATTTCATTCTCTATCTCATTAATACCGGATACCCATCGACTTGGTATCCATGATTAAGAGACGGATACCCACGAATATCCGTACCCGTAATATATATATATATATATTTTTAAATAAACATAAACCAAATATTTAGTAAAATTATATTATTTAATTCAAAAATATATTTAAAATATAAAAAATATATACCTTTGAATATATATAGATTTTTAAAAGTTTTTTAAAATATATATGTTAATTTTTAAAAGTTAAAACCTAATATTTAAATAAATAATTAAAAAAATAGAAATATTTGTTATTTTTATATATTTACGGATATACGTGGATAACTGTCTTCGTAAAAATGAAACTTGTACCCGTTTTCATTGTCATTTTTATGTATCTGTCTTCATCTTCATTCAGAGGCGAATATCCATTTTTCGGATACCCATCGAATATCCGCAAACCCGTAGATAACGGATATAAATGCCCAACCCTAGTTCTGGTCCTTTAACAGACGTGTATCTATCGATGTACACATTTTAATAATTCGTTTTATATAGAAATTAATTGGGAGCAAGTAAACCAAAATTAGATTTGGTTTAGATTCGGTGGTTTAATCCGGTTATCTTTTGTTTATTGGTTATATATCAGTTTGAGCTTTCCAAATAGATTTGGATAGGGTTTGTCATCATCTCGATCGGTAATGTTACATGAACTCGAACTAGTTTCATGCGATCAAATCGAGCATCTTGCTTTTAGTTTACGAGTTCACGAGCTATATAGATCTTGTCCGTGTTTGTGTTGCAACTGTCGACTGGTTCTACTATCTGATCTAGGGTTTTTTTTTTCAACTTTAGATATACATTTTGTGTGAAACGGTAGAATTCTGCAATTCTATGGCTTCAGTTATATTTTATGATTTACGATTCTGTTCCAATGTTTCTGGGTCTTGGTCGAATTTGAGTCGTGCATGCAATTTGTTCGACTAAATGCTTGAACGAAATGTTTGTTTAATATTGTTGAAAGGTCTTATAGTTGAAATGGCAATGAGAATTGAAGCGTAGTTCGATCAAATTGGCTGTTGATCCAATTAGAAAGGCTTATTGGAAAGATCATCGTTGTGTTGTGTTAACTACTTGTTATGAATTTTGTCCATCTTTTTGTTTAGTTTCGAATTTCCAGCCGCTAAAGGACTGAAAACTCGGTGCAATGTGGTTGATGTTTCTCTATGTTATCTTGAAACTGTTTGTTGTTGTTAGTTGTTACCAATATTCGCACTTATACCATGAAGTTAGGAACTGTGCTCATAATCGTTTCGAAATTGTCTTGATTTGTGATGAATCATGTCCGAAATGGTGCTAAATACCAAAATCGAACTGAGTGGAAACAAAGAATTTATACGACCGATCCTAAATAAATTTCGGATCAAGGCGATGTTGATGTTGATAATGTTGATCCTTATTGTCACTCTTGTTAGTCCATGTTCTGTTTGTCTCAATACATGGTTCTCACAAATGTGTTACGGATCTCACGTTCGGTAAAATGGGGATCCAAGAACCATATTTATTTGGTTAATTTCTCGCTCATTCGCTGTTCTTTTTTTATTCCAGATGGGGCTACGAGATACTTCTTTGGAGTCTACATTACATTTTGAAAGTAGTACAGTTTTCGATCGGGAAATATTCACCAGGTTTGATGCCTTTCCTTTGCTTCTTTATTTGCATCTACTAGTGTTTGCTACAATTTTCAGAAGACAGTTTCTAAGAAAGTAAGAAGCAAAGATAACTAAGATGATAGAGATAAGCGTATTAGATTAAATATTAACGAAGTAGACATACGAAGTTTGGGACAAAAGTGAGTCCAAAAGACGGTGAAATGATAAAAATACAAATGAAACACAAATAATGAGGCTTTCACTGGAACAAAGGAAACCCGAATATGTTCTTTACGAATTGTTTCAAATTAACTTCTAAAATCAACTACTTACAATGCTCAATTATAAATGGCATTTACTTTTTTTTTTGGTGTTTTGTTACAGACCAGTTAGCTGGAAAAATTTCGGGTCTCATCCGAATTGAAATGACAAACTACATTGTTTTAGTAGCCGGGGAAGATCGGTGGCGGTGGTGATGCATACTGAAATCCAATGTTTGGTGGGAGTATGAAGTTGTCGTTGTCGTCACCACCATCGTTGGATTCCGGTGTTGGTGCCAAAGACTGCGACGGTGTGGTTGATGTTGGTGCTTCAGCTTGTTCTGAAGATGGAGTTGGTGCCTCGACTTGTCTTGATGATGGAGTTGGTGCCTCAAACTTCTTTTGTGATGGTGTTGGAGCCTGATGTTGTTCAACTGATGGTGTAGGGGCATGACCAAGTTCAAAAACTGGTGTGGCAGCTTGAACTGGTTCAGGTTTAGGGGCATTAAAGATTTCGGGTGATGGGGTTGGTGCTTTAACAGATTCTGAGTTCGGTGATGGTGCCTGAACTGGTGTTGATGATGGAGGTTGTTCCTGAATTGGTACTGATTGTGGTGTTGGTCCTTCTACAGAGGGTGTTGGAGCATCAACTGTTGGTGATGACGATGGTGGTTGAACCGATATTGGTGCTGGTGGTGGTGGGTAGACTGGTGGAGGGGGAGAGTAGACGGGTGATGGAGGTGGTGGAGAGAAGACCGGAGGAGGGGGTGAGTGGACCGGGGGTGGTGGTGGAGGAGAGTAGATTGGTGGAGGCGGCGAGTGAACCGGTGGTGGTGGTGGAGAGTGGACTGGTGGAGGCGGTGAGTAGACTGGTGGGGGTGGGGGTGGAGAGTGAACTGGTGGTGGTGGAGGAGAGTAAAGTGGAGGTGGTGGAGAGTAAACCGGTGGTGGTGGTGGTGAAAACATCGGCGGTGGAGGAGATTGTACGGGTGGAGGTGGAGAGTGAACAATCTTTGATGGTGGTGGCAATGATTTTGCCGGTGGTTGAGGAGGTGGTGAGTTTGTCTCTACTCTTGGAGGTGGTGGAGGACGACGTTTTTTGACCGGAGACGCTTCAAACGGGTCTTCGGGTATGGGTGATTTCTTTGGAGGGGAAACCGGTTGTGGCATCTCAGGCTTTGGCGGCTCTTCAGGTTTTTGTGATTCATCTTGTTTTGGTGGTTCCGGTTTTGGAGACCCCTCTGATTTTGATGGCTCTGGCTTCGGAGATTGCACTGGTTTTGGAGGTTCAGGCTTTGGTGAGTCCTCGGGTTTAGATGGTTCTGGCTTAGGAGTTTCGGGTTTTTGTGATTTTGGGGGTTTAGGCATTGGCGAATCATTGGATTTAGGCGGTTGCGGTGTTTTCGGGGATTCTTGCTTTGGAGGCTCCTCGGGTTTAGGTGGTTCTAGATGAGGAGTTTCGGGTTTTGGTGTTTTTGGTGGTTCGGGTTTGGGTGTGTCAATGGGTTCAGAAGGTTTGGGTTTAGGAGTTTCAGGTTTTGAGGGTTTCGGCGGCTCTGGCTTTAGAGACCCATCAGGCTTAGGCGGCTCAGGTATGGGTGACTCCTTTGGTGGTTCTACGGTTTTCGGTGGTTTCGGATTTGGTGAGCTTACTTCAGGCTCGGGCTTTGGTTGATTCGGCTGACGTGAAGGAGTTGGCTCCAGCGATGGATTTTCTTGCGATTTGTGACCCCCACCACCAGCACATTTGTCTTTGCTGCAATCCACTGGATGACTCATCACCGGCAAACATTCTTTAGCGGATTTCTGCTTCGGTCTATTCTGTAAGCAATTGCTCGTATCGTCGAATTGCTTATCTTTGCTCATCCCTGCAACACAATTCTTTCCTTCTCCGCTGAAAAAGTTGTGCGAAAACGTGAAGTTAACCAATTTAGGCAACTTGCAGATGCTGTCGGAGACAAATCCCGTGAGCTTGTTGCCTGAGAAGTCAAGTTGTTCCACGCTTGCTAAACCGGACAAGCTCGAGGGCAAACTTCCGAAGAACTCGTTGTTGCTAGCGTCGAAGACTGTTGCGTTGTTCAACATCCCGATCTCGGACGGGAAACAACCGGTGAGGTTGTTCCCGATAAAGACGATCTCGTTGAGGTTCTTCATCTTTCCGATTGTCTTTGGAATGCAGCCGCTGAACTTGTTGTGAGCAAATGTCACAACGGATGCCGTCGACTTTCCTATTGCATCAGGGATCGTGGATTCAAACCTGTTGTTGTTCAAGAAAATGGCATCGAGATCCTTGTCGAAGAGCTCTTTTGGTAATGTTCCTTCAAAGTCATTGTATCTGATATCTAGGTACTTCAAAGATGGCCATGAGAGGGCGACGGTTGGGAACGGGCCGACGAAACGGTTGTTACTGACATCGAATTCGTACATCAACGTAAGCTTCGAGAGACTCTTGGGGATGATTCCGCAGAACCTATTCGAGTTAATGTGGAACAACGCGACATCAGTCATCAACCCAAGCTCGGGAGGCAAGTACCCTGCTATATCGGCATGGTTTAGGTCGATCCCGGCCACAACGGTGATGCTAGGGTCATCAAGTGCGGGTGCACAAAATACCCCGTTGTAGGCACATACGTTAGGGCCGACCCAGTTCTCCGTGGTGTCGAAAGGGTCTGAATACATCCCCTTCTTCCACGCTTGGAGAGCGATGTAAGCCCTTTTCAGACGGGAATTATCGAACGATAAGTTCGTGTCGACGTCATATTCCATTCCGTCGAGGAGATCCTCGTTCTCACCGAGGGCTAGGAGTTGGCGCCCGACGATGAACGAAGCCTCCTCGTCAGAGAGAGCAGTTGCCAAGGGAAGAACGATGGCAGCCGCCGCCACGAGGACGACGACGGAGAAAAGAAGGGAGGAGCCTGACGGCCTCTCCATTTATTTTAGGGTTTTATTTTTTGGTGGTTAGGGTATGGTGAAAAACCTTGGGAACGGACCCCAAGGCTTGCTTAATAGGAAATCTTGGAAAGGTTAAGAATGAAGGTGAGGGTAATTATAGGGAGAGCATGAAACCAATTGCTTCAAGGTTTCGTTACTATTTTTGGAAATTTTTTTGGATATTTTTTTTAATCACCCAATAAAAAAAACTAAAACTCTGTTTCAAGAATAGCAAATGTCGTAAATTAGGAAGAGAGAAACTAATTGATCGTTGACGAAATCGTTGGCAAAGCTTTGGTTGTCTTTTACCTTAATTTGAAACCTCTGACTTTTAGTATTGGTTGATTTATTGGTTTTGGAATGAAACTCCAAGCGTCGTATTATTTGGTCTAAAAATTCATTGGTTATTAGTTAAGATTTTTTATTTCAAATTAACTAAATTTTAAATCCGAATATTAACATAATTGGAAAATGAAAAGTAAAATCTTCTTTTCTTAGGCAGTAGGATGTTTATCGATGTAAACCGAAGGCGAAGAAAATTTGAATCAAAATCCAAATGGGTATACTTTTAAAGAAATAAAAAATATGAATTCGAAACAATTGAACATAGAATTGAAAAAAGTAAATTCCACTCACCCACTACGCCAATATTTAGATTCAATAAGTCGCAACAAACATATTGCAAAATGACTTGCTTTCATGTTTTCGTCGTTTTTCACCAAATACATATAGATTCAATAAATGGCAACAAATATATTGCAAAGCAGTTAGCAACATCCAAAAGATCACAACATACAGGTCACAAAAACAGGAATACATAGTGTTCAAACACAAAAACAGTTAAGGTGCATTTGTCTCCGAAGGTAACACACGTCGCCCCACCGCAAATAGGCCAACACAAATTCATCCGCATCTCTACAACGTTTGCGTCGTTTCTCCTAAGAGAATCGCTTCAATGTATTTCATGGCGAACACTCCATAGTCTCCCCCTTTTGTCTTACTCTTTGAGACACCAATAAATTTTGAGGTAACCCTTCCGGAAACACCTCCGACCACTTTTGCTTCTTCACAATTTTAGCATACCTACGAGCAAATTATCACTGAAAAACGAGTCTGAAACGGAGAAAACGAGTGACAACTGAGATCAGAATGAAGTCGAAAGAATATAATTCTAATCAGACACTATGCTAACCTGGGTGAAATCAATCCTATTTTATTCTGATCTCTCCCGATTCATTCCAACTCTAATAGTAATGGAATCTAAGTTCTTCGCGTAAAACTTCTAAAGATTTCTATCTACTCGCCGAGCACGTTTCTCGAATCTATTTACCAATCTTTCCAAAGACATTTGACCTTTATCCTTTCTTTCCCAACGTCTCCACTCAAACTTGTAACTCCAAGAGGTTTTTGGTTCTTTTCACTTGTTTCTTTTTGAAGACTCATATCCCGAACTTCTAGGACGTTGAAATTGCTGAGTACCCTTTTCTTTATTTCTCTTTTTTTTCTTTTTTTTTCACATGGATACTCAACCCACAACTTAAACCCGAGTCGTTACGCAATCATGTCCTCGAATGATTTTCATTGACGAGATAGTGGTAGAGGAGTGTCGAGATTCATCTATTTATGGCATCTATCATTTATTTCTCTAACATCGGTAAAATGATCTAAGGGTCTTGGGAACGATTCTTAGAGAAACTTATGCGCTTGGTTCGGGAGACATCTATCCCTAAAAGGTTTCAGCTAAAACATATCTCGCATATCTTTCAAGTCTATTTTGAACGAGAGCTACCATTTCAGATAGAAACCGACAATTCATCCCTTAACTCAGAAGAGTTCTAGGGCGGTTCACACAGGTCCTCAAAGCGAACTAAAGAAGTGAAAAAACATCCAAGTACACAGTAGGAAAAGGAAAACAAAAGAAGTGAAAAAAAAGAAAAAGAAAAAAAGAAGGGAAGTAGAAAAATTCACTCTCGAGGGTCTCCGGCGGTGTCCATGTCATCTGTAGGCGGTGGCTGATCCGGGCAGGTCATACCCAGATAAGGATACCCGGGTGAAAATGCAACATGCTGGCGACCGACCGGCGTGAAGTGGAGCTCCTGTAGACCCTGAAGAACCTACATCTGGTAGTAGTCCATGTGTCGGCGCTGGTCCAGGTATGAGGTCAGAGAGGCCACCTGCTCCCCTATCTGTGTTTGGCACTCGCTGAGGGTGCGGAGCTGTGCCCCGAGGGTGGCATGAGCGGTGGTGATCTCGTGTTGAGTGCGTGCGATGTTGTGGTTGTGTTGCTCCATCAACTCAAAGTAGTCGTCCTCATAGAGCTGCTCCAGAGTACGTATCTCTACGTCGACGTCGAGGGTCGGGCTCTGTTAAGGCAGTTGGCGAGAGGAGCTGGGGATGTCTCGGGGAGGGGCACGTCGTGGAGGCTGTTCCACGGTGGGGACGACAGTACGAAGCCCCTCCAGAGTGAGCGCTGGAATGCGATCGACGTGAGTGATGTAGAGAGTCCCGTCATACTTGTTGGACCAGAAGACGTCGCCATAATCACTAGCCATCACCATGCTTGTGACACCCGCATCCCGCTTATAAGTTGTGCCACATGGACAAGTAAAATCACCATCAAAAAATTTCGAAATGTAATTTGCGGGAAGATTAACACATTCATTTTAATTATAATATAGCGGAAGACATTATAAAATACAGAAGTACGTTTGTACACGTACTCGAAGATATCAGTATATAGTACGAATGGTGAAAGGTATAATACAAGAGTCTAAAGATCACTACTCTTTATTTTCAAAAATAAAGTATGACAAAATAATTATACATGATCTGGATAGTGTGATGTCACCGGGTCCCGCATCTGCCTCGGTCACTACTGCTGCTCACGACCTGAAACGTTGCATAACAACGTCCTAAGCTACGTATTTAGAGAAAAAACCGGGTGTAACCCGAAATTTCTATTTTTATTGAAAACGACCAAGCAATATAGTTAATATTATACGTATACATGTGACGAGATATATCAATCAAATCAATCACCGTGGAATCATTCAACAATCTCGAATAAACCCGTCAATCGTCTCTACGTGTATCTCACACGTAGGTAAACAACTCATTCATGCCTGTGTCGAACACGAGGCGCAACAGTCCAAGCAAAATCCTTTGCGAGGACCTCAAGTGATCTTCATACTCCTCATTGGTCACCGATATCACGGCTCTCGATACCGATCATCCCCATACCCACTCCAAACATCGATACCCGATGCCGCCGACTGCCGGGCGAAACAACTCTATGCTAACTCCCCCTCGCTGACCATCCGCCTCAGAAGATACTCATCAGACCCGAGCTCGAGTCTTTCAGAGTATATCCGTACCACCTCGCCGGGGACACATGCAACTACCCGGGTCTCAGGTTTATTTGCCAATCAACGGGTGACACACGCAAACCCGATGTCCGTTCCATGGCCAATGGAACGTTGGCGCGGTTGCCAAAGAACCGTACTTCCTTGTCACGCATTCGGGTAACACACGCAAACCCGAATACGTGAGTCGTAGGATGCCATAACCTTTCGTCAGGGAACGATGGCGCGATCGAAGATCGCCACAATCACAATCACGTTACCGCGGTATGATAATCGATGCGGATCGATTATCATACATCGGAGACTTTAGCAAATGCAATCATCATTTTATAATTTATAAGATTACCCTGCTACAATCATACGTTTCACAATATCCGGAACCATCCAGTATATTGCTAACGCCATGCAATTCTACCCGTTTTAATTTAAACTCTACATCCCATATATTTACCGGTTATACTATTTCTATTATTGTTATTTATCATTATTTTGTTTTTCAATATTCATTTGAACTTTATGTATTAATTTAGTCGTTTTATATATTTATCCATTCATTACTAAAATTCTTTTTATTATTGTATCTTAAAATTATCTTACAAACTTACAATGATAACAAAAATATTTTATACATGATCACGTTATAAATATAATATACCAGTGCATTATTTTTCTACTACAAAACAATGACAGTTAAATTTATAAATTAAACCAAATCAATCATCAAAATTGCATACAACATACAAACTCCGAAATCAATAAAAATAAAATTCTCGGAATCACATCCAAATTCACTCACCGCGATTTTTGTTCAATGTTAGTTTCTCGATGCGATCTTCGTTGTAACTCCGAGATCAACTATTACCTAGATAACATGTTTTATATATAATATCATTTAAGCATATTCATACACTATTATAAAAAGACGTTCTCTACATCTGTCTTATAGGTTTCACTAGATTTTCTTTGAACCCAAAGACTTGTTTCTAGTTTTAATTCCTTTTATTGAAAGGAGTTATTGGTATTGTGTAAATAAATTCAAAATTAAAACTAGGTTTCAAGTGTTTATTTTAGAAAAGGTCCGATGGTTAAGAAACATAAAAGTTTGGCTCTCCCCATAACAAATTTGATTAACGTTTTAAGGTTGGATTGGCTTTTAAAAATAAATAATTACATCTTCTCTAAATTAGTTTGAAATTTACTGAATATAATACATGCAAAAATTTTAATTCTTATCTAGACCATACATGTGTCATAGATATATTAGTGTTACTAATATATGTATAGGTGGTAAACGTGGATGATTCATTCTCATTCCTTTGTCTTTTTCTTATTGTAATTATTGTATTATATATGTTTTTTATATATTAACTTATATCTATAGGTTATGGGAGAAAGTTAGAATATTCAATTATTGGATATATATATATATAACTAACATTTCCATAATTGCATATATATATGTATCTATATATATGAACGTGACTAATTCATTTTTTTTTTATTATTATCTTGATTTTTTTATTCATAATATTTATTACACTTTTAAAATTATTTTAAAATATATATATATATATATATATATATATATATTGTTAGAACGGGTTATCACATTCTACCCTCCCCTTAAAATGAATTCGTCCTTGAATTCAAAATGAAGGTACGATAATATTCATATACGAATAGATATGGATAGTGGTCGCGCATCTCCTTCTCCAATTCCCATGTCATATCCGAGACTCCCTGACTTCTCCGTAATATCTTGACCAAAGGAATCTCTTTGTTCCGTAGTTGCTTCACCTTGTGGCCAATGATCTGTAACGGTTCATCCCGAAATTGAGCGTCACTGGTAAGCTCAATCTCTTGTGGCTGAA